GGATGATCTCACTTAATAATCTTCAAATATACTGGATTTACTTCTAGCTAAAAGTGCCTAGTCTGAACCCATAATATCTAGATAATCCAACCAATTGCTTCAGATGCTCTGGCAGGAATAGACAACCAGTAATCTATAGGCCACATGCAATTCTTAACTTAATTTCATGCAGCCCCTGGCTTAACTTTCTCTCTCTCTCTCTCTCTCTTTCTTTCTCTTTCTCTCTTTCTAAAGAAGCACTTCAGACCTCTGTATCTTTGGCAACTGCCCTGTGGGGAAGAGAAAGGTGTCAGAAAGATAATGGGGAGAAGAGAGGAAAGGGTAAATTAGAAAGAAAAGAAGGGTGACCATACCAATGTTCAGCTCTGGCCTGAGTCATATGGATTGCATTACAGCTACTGCAGTGCCCAGAACCTATACTAATTGATCACTTCCTTCATTGGCAGTTTAATTTTATAGCACTAAATCTGCTGCAGAGTAATCTGCTGTCTGAACAAACTATTAGTTACACATTAGTCCAAAGCTCTATTCTTCCATTGCCAGCAGTGAAACCTGCCATGAAGTCATCTCTGTTCTCACTGCTTCATAAATCTTTTTATAGCTCCATCACATACATGTTTACTGTTCCATAAATCCTTTTATAAGTGCAGCCAATGCTCTAGCAGGATTACAAAGGAATTTACAAGATGATAACCAAGGCTGGTTTACAGATTAGAAAAGCAAAACAAACATATAATTCAGAAATACCAATTTAAGGGCACAATGACCTTGTAAGATAGTACTAGCATGCTCTCTGCAAGTGTAACACGGCTTCTAAATGCCCAGCAGTATAGAATGAAGGGCCAGGGAGAAGGTGTATGAGTGACTGATAAATGGCTTTGAACTTGTTAAGAAAATTTGCCAGAGTTTGGAACCACCCTAGGAGAAAAGGTGGGCTGACATAATTAGCACAGCATGAATGAAAGCCTAAAGATCAGAGGATTAAAAAGCACATCCTGCTATGCAATTATATGCTACATGCAACAACATGGCTCTGGTACTAATGATAGAGAACGGAGTGATGAATATTTCTTCCTGATAGCACAAGCTTTGTTCTTTTATTGTGCTGAGAATTAGCAGTTCTCCATTCTGCCAAAGGAAGACATTTTGGTACCTCAAAGATTGCACATTTCTGTATCACCAACAGATGGTGATCAACAGAAAGATATATTTCCCCAGTTTTCGAATGCTTAGGTTTTTAAGGGCAATACTGCATCCTGCTTCATGGGTACTTAACAATAACTGATAACAAAACAATAACTGTCTATAATACTTTCCTTCTCCTCTATAAACAATTCTACTACAGTTCACCAAATGCTTTATTTCAGGAAACATTTACACCATGAAAAATATTCAGCCTCTTTGGATCATGTAATCTGTACTCTGTGTTCTTTTGATTATGACTCTCCAACTTTCAACTAAATATCATCTAGAAAATGAAAAATTAAGAGATAATTTTGTTCACTTATGTAAGTTATATACTTGTTATAGTTTTTGCATTCTGCCCAGATCTGTAATCATTCTTTACCATAAGTATTCATGTAACTTTCACTAGAAGTCGCTGTAGCCTTTTAACTTCCTTTTCCATATCACTATTCTCAGAATGAATGGGTTCCGAATGCTTAATTTTCTTTATTCTGATACATTTAGGACTGGTGTAAATCACTGCAGAGATTGCCAAGGAAAAAAAGTTCATAATGTTTATATGTAGTGTCTTTTCCATGCTAGTATCAATAGCCATCTGAGATGGACTCTATCATTAAATTATAATATGTTTTCGTGCTGATGCATGGTGATACTACAGATATTTAAACATTACTCCAGTTATGTGATTGTTTCTTACATTTTTTTTTTTTGGTGGCCTCTGCAAGCCTTAAAATGAAACAAAAACAAGTAAAACATAATCCATTGAAATGTTACAGTAAACTAACTTACTGAACAGACAGACAGCAAACAATAACACTCAAGTCTTTACCAGCATTTCATCATTTTCATTCATACTGATATTCATATCTATCTGTCCATGCACACATAAAGGAAAGGAGCTCAGTCTGCTCCAATTGTTTAGGCAACTTATCTTTATTCATCTGAATCTCAGGGTCTTGATCAATCTGATCATCATCAGGCTCACCAAGGGCCACTTCTCTAACATTTTACTTTCCAACGTATACTAGATAAATATAATTATGTAGTATACACTGGAAATAAATTAAATTTTTCATAATACTACAAATATCTGAATTTTGAAAACATTTCTAGATGTTTGAGAAATATTGATTTCACATATTCATTTAATGCATTATGTATCACATCTTTCCTCCAAAACACAGGGTATGTGAGGTTTTCAGAAAAACTTCCCATGCAGATCCTGGCTGGGCCTAAATCTGTAGAGATGAAATTATGAGTAATAGCTGAAAACATCCCAAAATGAATTTTAAAATTATTGTGAAAAATCCATATTTCTTATTGGCCAACCCATCAGCCAACTCTCCAGGTAAGAAATGGGCAACCTGATTTTAGATACTCTCCTTCCTGATAATTAGATTTCTGGCTGAAGCTAATAGAGTCCAGCAATATCCATGTGGCTACTCAAGGATGGCTTTTATGCATGACTATTTCAACATGATGATGATACTGATGATGGTGGTCTGGCTGTTTTCTCTTCTCCTATAATTTTTTTTTTTAATGAAGCAAGATAAAATAAAAATGAGGGTCAGCAGGAGACTAGAAGTATAGATTGGGGATTTAGCAAAGAAGGAATGGGACTAACCTTTCTCCCTTTACTTAAGTCAAAGATACAGACAGAGATACTATTAGCCATGGAGTAACTTTAGGGAATAAATGTGGCACTAGAGAGTGTCTATGGAGAAGGGTTTGGTTGGGTTTGGAGTGTGTGGTTTAGCACACACCATCCTGTCCATGCTGCAGGTTCTGTAAAAATCTCTCATTAGTAATTAGGAAAAGGAGGTAACCAGACTGAAAGCTAGTCACAAATCTCTCACACCCCATTTAGTTTGCTCCAAATAGGACGAGCTAACACTGAAACTAGGTAATGGTAATGAGGAATGAAAGTTGTCCAGTCACTACATCCTTCCAAATAATTTCTTTCCTAAGGTTGCATCAAAGTACACTTTATTGAAAGCATATTCTGCCAAAGAATGTATGTTGTGCTGTAGCATTCTCTGTAGATACATTCTTCAGAAATATCACAGTTATAGCATGGAATTTCAGAGGAGCAAGCCCTTGATTGCCCTCTGTAAGTAGAATGTTTCTTAGGCTGACTGCAGTTCTTCAAAGACTACTTATCAAAACTCCATTCCTGACATTTATCAGCACCATTTTAGAACCACATGCTCATCTCTTTATCCTTCAGCTCCACATATTGGACCCTCACATGGCCTCTTGCCATGTTCAGTCTTATGATTAGTTTAAATACAGATAGTTATTATAATATTGCTTCTGTTTAGTTAAAAACATCAGATAAAAAATCAAGTTTGATTTACAAAAATAATTTGGTCACAGAAATATCAGTGTGTTTGCTAGAAAGCTAATATATCAGTGTAAACTGATTTACCTAAAATTTTTAGGCTATGCATTTTTGACAATTTAAAAAATTGCCTATATTAATAGTCTGAAAGAAGTAAATGGTTAGGTACTACAGTATTTTCATATTCGCAACAGTAAATTATAGAGACCTGAATAAGAAGTTATTATTCTTATTCATATTGGTCTTATTAAACTGATTTCAATTTGTCTAAAATCATTAGCTATGCTGGCCTGTATAATTTCAAGCAGAATTTGCAAATGTACTATACAGGCAGTCTCCGGTTTAAGAATGTTCAACTTACGGACAACTCGTACTTATAAACAGACTGCCATAAAGCCTTTTATATTAAAAATTTGCGTAACTTTTGTGTAATTGGGTAATAACATACGCATGCACTACTTTGTGACACTCATGAAAATATTGCCAGCTTCAGCGATTCATCAGCTCGAGGAAGGAGAACGCTATCCGCCATTTTAAGTCAGATCACATTGTGATTAACACTGGATTGAGTGTGTAACTTTGTGTTTGGCTTAAATGTTCTGATTTACCTACTAATTCGATTTAAAGACAAACTTAGGAATGGATCTCATTTGTAACCCAGGGATTGCCTGTATTCAAAATCTTAGAAATACACTGCACCATATTTGAAAGTCAGCAGATACAAAGGCACCTATGAAACCTTAATTCTATTCCTTTTTAGTATTCATTTGATTAACCTTTAATATCATGATAGTATATTCTGGTCCATCCATTTGAATTATAATGAGGATGTTCTCCTCTACATTTTAGGCTCATGTTGCTTTTTAAAGAAATAAAATGTCTGGGAGGCTTCCCCTGTATAGTGTAAATTGGATTTCAGCTGCTCCCAATTTGGTTTCCTACCTTTTATCTCATTTCCTGGTTTGGCCGTGGTTTACTTAGGTATTGCTGATGGCTGTAATCTGTAGAACCCCAAAGAGTTATGCACATTTGTGATAGAGATTTTCCCCAAACACCTGGGAACTATCAAATGTAATTGTTTGCAGCTGGTTCTACATGCGCAGTGAGCATATATAGCCTGTGTAGGTAGGCTGTGACTATTTGGTGGTTAGGAGTACAGTCTTGTGATTATCCTACTCATTTTCCTAATACATAAAAAAAGCCCTGATTGTATAAAAACTGATTTGCTGCTTTCCATGACCCAGATCAAATTCAGGAAGCAATATGAATGTGATCTGTTTATGAAACAGGAGATAAGAACATTTTCCAACATTTCACTAACCCTGATAAATTAATGCATTTGGACAAAGTATTTTTAGAATGAATAAAATACAAAGCTTTGCTTATAGTTGCTTCCAAGACTTTGCCTTTGCCTGCCAATCAGACTAGGACAGACATAAATGCAACTGCCCCTGCTGTAATCTGTAACAAACTCCCTTTTCAGGTGAGCTGTGTGAAGGTCTGTTTTCCAGGGGTATTTGTAGAAAGACTGATGACAACCTCTTATTTCAAATAAATAACTGGCTCAGGAGCATATGGCGACAAATATATCTTGGCTTTTCATTTTTCCTAAGTGCATCTGGGTAAAAAGTATTCTAAAAACTACTTCAAATATCTATAGCTAAACAAATGCCAGGAGAGACAATTATCTTCTGAGGCTGAGAATTTCCTTCAGGGCTTTTTCTGAATCCTTTCATTCACCCAGTTTCCATGTTCTCTGTTCTTAATTAGTTCTGTGGAGCATCTGCAAAGGAAATTCTGGTAGTACTATGTTTGCACTTACTTTGTTTTCCACCCAAAATGCATGTAAGCATCCTTCTCGGCCAGAATTTATAAGCTGCTTCTAATGTAAAGGGACTACAGCATCCTTAAAGTAATCTCTGTTCTTTGCCCATCATCCATCTTTCCTTCCTTTTTGCCCCCTCCCCAATATTTTTCAGTCTTTATCTCATCTCCAAATCAGTCCCTGAAAAATAGGACTATTGTCAAAGGCTTGCAACAAAGTACTTACACCTTTCCTGGCCCAGCCACCACCTTCCCGAGGCTTCTTGCACTCACCTCGACCAGTGCTGTAGTGCTGTAGCTTGTCACTGTAGACAGCCTCTTTGCTATAGGCTCGTTTCCTAGGAAAATAAAACATAAGCATCAGTTCAACCTATGTCCAGACTCTAAGGCTGTGCACACTTTGAAAAGGATTTGGAGGAAGTGCTCTGGACCTTGTACAAATACACCACCTCTCTAATATTCACTAAACAGCCCCTTTTTTTTCAGGCTTCTTCAGGACCCTAAAGGGAGGGGGGGAAAGTAAGCTACTTAAAGCAGCCACTTTTCCCCCTCTTACTAAACAGTAAAAGTTTTACAATTTTTTTTTTCTTGAAACGCAAAAAGATAGAACATGGTGTTTAGCAATACTGTTGACAAGTATTTCTCAATCTTTTTTCACCTATGTCCCCCTTCTGATATTGTTTTTCTCCTATGGCCCCTAATGTCCCATTATCAGATACAGACATGGGAGAACAACTGGTGCATTTTCTGGTATCAACAAGGCAGTACTTGCAGTATAATACACTTTGCTTTTCTGTGTCCCCCTCGGCATATGCTGAGGCCTCCCTGTTATATGTTTGTCACCTGTGGCCTCCTTGAAATATCCTAGGGCCCCCAGTTGAGAACCACTGCTGTAGACTAAGTACTTTGTAATACTAGCCCTATCGTATTGCCATCAGAAGACTCTGAGGAGGATAAGGCTCAGTTTGTTTCTTTAGAGGAAGAAAAATCAGTTCTGTGTTTAGGGCATTAGCCTCTGATTGAGAGGAGGATCTAGCAGCAGAAACTACACTGAACTCCTGCACAGGGGGAGAAGGTGATCACATCCCAGATCATAGCTGTCCACATAAGGCTTAATTAGTCTGTTACTAAAACAGTATCTAGTACTCTTATGGGATAATTTCAGCCAACAGGATTCATTTAAACCCATCCATGATTCTATTTCCTGCTGTTCTCTACTGTGGCTGATCTACCCCATCTGCTTTGTCTTCATTGGAGTTTTCCTGATTAAATAAGACACCTTTTACTTTTCCTGAAAGTTAGCAATACAATACACCTAGGATTATTTTTTTCCTATTAATACATGATTAAAAGTGCATTTTGGTACCCCCCCCCCATTAAACGGTTTATTTCATATGTAATGAAAAGTTGGCTTTAACTACATTTTGTTGAATAAATCACAATGACTGAATTCACAAGTAGTAAGAGGCAGGTTATTCAACTTTTTCGGCTAAAGGCTGCATTTGGCCATTGGGTGGTAAAATGTAAGCAGAACCAGGACATAACTATTTTTGATTTAATTAAATTTAGGTTATTTAAATACAGCTTGTATGTATTTAATATTTTTCATACAAACTGTATTTAAGTAACTTTAATTAAATCAAAACTGGTTATTAGTGAATCCCCTTCTCACTTATAAATATACAAATTATAAGGAACATTTGAATGGGCTTTGAGGGGCACACCCAAGGAGGTTTCACATTGTGTACCTCCATCATGAACCATGGTTTACAATTCACAGCAGCTGGCTTCACATAATCTGTAAATCAAAACAATACAAACCACATTAAGGCTCAGCATGATATATGAATCCAATCATGGGTCCTTAGCACGCATATTACTATTGCAAAACCTATTAGCTGATCACAAATTAAAATGAGTCCTACATTAAAGAACCCATTCCAGAAACGTATCAGAGGCATCTGCAGGGAGAGGGCATAAAGCCAGTCAAGATGTCAGGCATGACAGTGTGATTGGAGCCTCACTCCTACATAGACACGTGTGATGTGAACACATGTATAAAGGAGCAGAGCACTCACCCTCTTAATTGATGCTTCCCTACAAATGCTCCTGAAATGCGCTTTGCAGAAAACCATCTCTTGGGCTTGTTTTTGATCAACAGTTTACAGATTTATTTTCTGCCATTGTCCTTCAAAATTTATTAAATGATTTAGTAATTTGTTACATTATTTATAAACCACCCTATGTCATGTACAATTTCAGGTGGTTTACAATTACACCTACAGCTACAATTAAAACTAAATAAAACAAATTAGTAGCAATCTGATAAAACCTATGGAAATAAAATAACCTTTTGTGTAGGTGGATAGGATAGGATCAAGAAGCAGAAAGGCAAAGAAAATAGCAAAGAGCAATTTATTGCACCGTGGTAGCCAAACAGAAGGCTAGCATCCCATAAATATCCTCTGCGGGAGACCCAGAAGAGAATCGTTTGGACAAGATTAAGCTGAGGACAAACATTAAAAAGCAGTAGGTCTTGGGAGACAAGCTTCCTAAAAGCAGGGCCATCAAACAAAGGGAGTTATCTAAGTAATTTTGCTTCTTTTGATTTGGTATTTTCAACAGAGGTGCATACATGGAGCTTTGTGACCCAACACGTGGTTTCTAGTACATTTGTTTTTACAAAGAAGAATCTATGTCCATTGGCACATCTACTCATTTGCAGGATGTTCTCTGTGCAATCACTGCAGATCAGTTAGTTTTGCCAAAAGTATCCTGCAGAATATTTATGCATTCCTACTATATCCTCTGGGAAAGTTCATCTTTGGAATGGAAAGAAAAGGCTAATGGGGCAAATAATACCTGCTGCAAACAATTGAAATAGCCACTAAGGAGACAATGAAGACGACCCCTGCTGCTGCAGAGCCAGCAATCAATGGCAGTTGTTCTCTCAGTTCTGACTTGTAGTCATCTGGGAAAAAAAAAAAGAAGTTTTGTAGTTTTCCCGCATGCTGATATAAGCCTTCCACTGTTAATAATACAACCTGATTATTTATTGATGAGATTGGTATTCTCCTATTCTTCCAGGATGGCATACACAGGTAATTGCATTTTACCCTACTGTTTGTCAAATGAGATAAGCTAACAAGCAGTGTTTGGTTCAAGTCCACCCAGGGAGTTGCATGGCAGATCAGGAATTTTAATTTGTAGTCCCCTTTTTGAGCCCCAGTATTCACTACCAGAACTATTACAATATCTTTATCAGAGAACTTCTCATATCCTGAAAATAATGTTATAGTTGCTAACGGAACTCAGGGTTGATTGCAAACTCCTCCTCCTCTTCCAACTACAGATAGCATTAAAGCTAGGAAAACACAACCCAAACAACAGATTCCACAATTAAGTTGAAGGCTCTGGAGTTCTTGGTGCTCTCTGAGCTTGGTTGTTTGCTTGCCCTGTTTTGGTGGGGATCAAGCTACTGTATATAAACAGGCAGCAAACCCCACACTCACTCACATGGATGAAGTTACCCAGGTGGGTAATGAAACAACTCCAAGCAAACAACCAAGCTTAGAGAGCACCAAGAACTCCACAATTCAACCCCAAGCTACATATATTCTCTTCTAAGTTGAAGGCATTAGTGGGATTGGGAAGAATACCTTACAAGTGTTGAATTTGCTGGTAGTGCCAATCATATTTTAGATTTCTGTTGGCATAGTCTGTCACAAGTTCAGATTAATTACTACATTTTGACAAACTTTAGTTTGCCATTATAGCTTAGTTAGACAATTTATGGCTTCTGCTTGTCCTGAAATTCAGGACTGTCACTTAATATAAAATCCTGGGAAATAGTATCCCTTGTAACATGCTCTGGCTTCCTCAAGAAATTATTCAGATAAACGGCATTTCTCTGTCTACTTGTATCCACCTTACCACAATGGATTGCTAGACAATAAATTAATTTGATTAACATTACTGCTCATCTTCTGATAATTCTGCCATGAATACTTAACAGCTTAAAATAAATTCATACAAACAGAAATATTTCACACCTCCTTTTAATTTTCTTATTCTCATTTGCAGCTAATTACTGGTAACTGCTTTATCTGCCTAATGCATAAATTTTGAACAAATTCCCATCTAACAATCAATTATTATTTAATAATACAATATCCGTTCTTGTTAGATTTCAATTAGCTGCTTATGTTTCAGGCAGAATATTCTCCTTGCCTGTCTAACTATCTAAGTAAAATGGAAACATATTTAAAAAGGTGCTCATCTCCTCAGTCAGCAGTTGCTGCACACATACTTCCTATTTCCTTCTTCAATTAGATGTTGGTCAAGGACAGTAGGCTTTGGCCCAAGACAAGGAGATACAGTATATATAGCAAAACTAACTATGTTAAACTACTCCAGAGGGGAACCACCTGCATTATGATATTATGATAGGGGATATTAATACAAATTAGTTAGAGATTAAACCTGGATTTATTCATTTGCTAAAAAAACTTGAAGAGGGCAAGAGAAGTCAATCTATACTGGTTTGATTTGCCTTCTCATGAATGTGAATTAATATGCAATGAGTAGTCACATTAATTGTTCCATCATGCATACAGACTCAAGGACACTGATTATAGTAATGTATTACATTCAGATATAGCATTTGAATAGTTTTGAAAAGCATCCAGTTCATGATAAAAGATACAGAATGTGCAGCAATATCTGTGTAGCCCTATGTTTCCTGTGAAATGAACGTAAAGTCGTTAAAGATAAATGTGAAAAGACATTGACGAAAATGAAGAAACAGAGGAAAGCAAACTGAATGTCACAGCATACCATAGAAATTGTCAAGAAGAGAAGCCAAAGCCAAGAAAGACAAAAATCTCAGAAAGGAACTTAACAAAGGGTTTCCAAGAGTTGTTTCAAGAGACACGAACCAATATTACAACAACATCTGTAAAGACATTGAAGATGGAAACAGACATGGAAAAACAAGGAAACTCTTTCAAAAAATATCTGAACTCAGAAGGAGGTTCCAACCTCAAACTGGTATGCTAACGCAGTGTTTGTCAACCTTTCCTTTCCTTTCCTTTTCTTTTTTTGCCCACAGCCTCCTTCCAACCTTGTTTTTCACCCCCCACCCTCCATTACATGTTTTTCAACTGTGGCCTCCTTATTTATTTATCAAATTTATATGGCTGCCCATTTCACAAAAAGTGACTCCGGATGGCATACAACAAAGTTATAAAACACTAAACATACAAAAAACAGTACTTATTAAAAATTTTAAAAAAGTCACTCCTTGAAATGTCCTAGGCCCCACAGGGGACCATATGGCCCCCAGTTGAGAACTGCTTTGGTAATGGATGCCAGTAACCAATTCAAAGGAGGAGCAAACAAAATGAAAGGATTATACTGAAATACAGGTAGTCCTTGACCTATGACCATTCAGGCAGCAACCATTCCAAGTTACAACAGTGCTGAACGAATGGTGGTTATGACCGGCTCTAGGAGTTCCGGCCATCCCAGCACCCCTGCGGTCATGTGATCACAATCTGGGTGCTTGGCAACCTGTTTGCACTTACAACAGGTTGCCAAGTGCCCTGTGATCACCATTTATAACCTTACCTGCCAGTTTCCCCAGAATGTCAATGGAAAAGCCAGTAGGGAAGGTCGCAAGTTGCTGGGGTAAGTCTCCCCAACCCATGCATCCTCCCCCAGCTCCTCTGTGCTCGCACTGCACTGGCCACTCATGCACTCCTGCACACCCTCCCTGACCCAGACCATACACCTGCACCCCTATCATTAGACCTTCCCCAACCTGCACTGTGCTCTTGTGTACCCCTGCACACCCACCCCAACCTGCACCTCTCACACACCCTCATGCACCCTCTTCGACCCTCCCAAATCCATACAACTCTCATGCACCCTCACCAATCCTCCCCGAACTGTGCTGCACCTCTCGCACCACCTTTGTGCACCCTCCCTCCCCCACACTGCACTTCTCACACACTCCTTGCACCCTCTCTGACCCTCCCCATCCTGCCCCATGCCTCTTGTGTACCCCCTCACTCTTGCGCACCCCCTCAAACCTGCATGGTAGCTCTTGTGCACCCCCTTGCACCCTCCCTAACCCTCCCCTACCTGCGCTTCTCATACACCCCCTCACATCCCCATGGACCATCCCCAATACCAATGGCGCCTCTTGTGCATCCCCTTGCATCCCCCCCACCCCCCCTTTCACCCTCACATACCTTCCCAGCACTGTGTTATGCCTCTCATGCAGCCTCCTCGATCTTCCTCTAAAAACCTGCACACCTCCTCTCTCCCTCCCCCACCTGCCTGCAGGCCTGGGACTTGCAACCTTTCCTCACCTACCCCCCCTCCTCTTTTTCTCCTCGTGTGGGCG